GCAGGGCAGGGGAAAGGGAATGCAAGTGTAGTTTTTGTTTATATTAAAATTATCATCACCTTACAACTTCCTATATTAAGATCAAGATGCTGTATATAAACCTCATGGTAACAACAAAGCAAAAATCTATGGTAGTGACACAGAACATAAAAAGGAAAGATGAATACAACAGAAAACCATCAAAAAACACAGAAAGATGGCGAAAAGCAGTCAGGAGCACTGACTGCTCCTGCAGAGGACCCGGGTTCGAGTCCCAGCACCCACATGGCAGCTATGAGCCGTCCTAACTCCAGTTCCAGGGGAATCCGAAGCCCTCTTCTGACCTCCGCGGCACTGCACGAAACGGGTGCACTCACATACATGCAGACAATACACTCATACACATAAAATAAAAACAATAAATAAAATATATTTTAAGAAACAGTGATATGACATCCTCTAGATATCTGTGTTCTTCCTCTCACATGAAGCCTTTCATGGAATTCTTTTGCACATAAAAGCATCAAATGCATATTCATTTTTTAAAAAATATGAACACAGCATGGAGAGGTGACTCACAGGTTAAGAGCACTTGCTGCTCTTCCAGAGGACACATTCAGATCCCAGCACCCATGTCAGACAACTCACATCTTCCTGTAACTCCAGCTCCAGGGACTATAACACCTTCTTCTGGCCCTCAAGGGCACACACACACACACACACACACACACACACACACACACACACACACACAAAGTCTTCAAAAAGTATAAAACAGAAATGGGACTGGAGAGATGGCTCAGCAGTTAAGAACACTGGCTGCTCTTGCAGAGGACCTGGATTCGATTCTCAGCACCCACATGGCAACTAACAACTGTCCATAACTCCAGTTCCAGGGAATTTGATGCCCTCTTCTGATCTCTGTGGGCACTGCATGACATGGATGCATTTATGTACATGCGATACATGCAGGCATAGCATTCATATTCATAAAATGAAAATAATTAAAATATTTTTAAAACCCTATAAAACACCCCCCCCACACACAAATGTACTATACTTGGACCATAATTACATTCCTTACTTTTTTATACCAGTTTTCTACAGGATAGAAATATTGCTTAGAAGACATGTGCATTTAAAGTTTGGCTAGAGTCCAGTTGCTTCCTCCTCCATCATGATTACAGATGGCTAACATTTTATTGCCCGCTTTCTAGGTGTTGTTCTGAGAGCTTTATACCTATTGCCTTATTTAATCCGTGTAGTGTCCCTATAAAGTAACAAAGTTTTAGTGGCCACCTGGGGTTCCTAGTATTTAGAACTGAAGTCTTTATTAGCATTGGTGCTCTGGGGTTTTTCCTATTGAAAGTTTCGTGTTTGGCCACAAGGTGGCAGTCGTGTCTACAAAATGATTTTTATTTAATCTACCAGTGCAGTAAAGCTCTGGAACTTCCATTGTGGTTTTAAAAGGCAGGGATTACTGTGCATGGCTCCAAAACAAAGGATAAAGGGAACTGCCCCCATCCTTCAGTTTGGATGATGAAAGGCGTGGTGGGAGCCAACTTAAAGGAATCAAATGAGTTCTTCTCACGGAAAAGCAGGATTTTCATTTCCTCCTAGGTTGTGAGGAGTTAGATGCTGTTGTACTTCTACCTGCAAAGAATCCTCAGGGTCCACCCCCACTCATTGTTGTAAACCCAGCTATAAAGGACAGAAATTTCTACAAGGAAGAACAAAGTTAGATGATGAATTTTAGCTTCTAAGTTCTGCAAGCCATGGCCTCTCACATGAAATGTAGCCCTTTGGGGCGCTGACTTGTGGCCTTCTCTCTCTGAAGAGCTTAGCAGTGAGTCCAGGTAGAACATTGGAGTTGCCCCCCAAGCTATCTGACAAGTCCCATTTGGGAAGGCCCTTGTGGGAGAATGTGACTCCCCTCATGTCCAACCCTATGAAATCTTCATTGCTGAAGCCCAAAGCAGGGGAGGAACTCACCTAAGGGTCTCTTGGACCAGCAGTCGTGGAGACAAGTTCCATTGTAGGGTGGGCTGAAGCTGACCCCATAGGTCATGTGAGGTCTTATACCATGTGTGGGTGGTGCCCAGCACTGCTGAAGCACCTGTCTGCCTGCAGAAATGGAACAACATTGCCCTCAGGCCTGGAGATCTGAGTTCTCTTCTAGCTCCAGTTCCCTCCATCCAAATGGCTTGTATGTGTCGTAAATGCATCTTAGCCTTCAAGTCCTGATCGTGAAGGAAAGTAGGATCTCTGTGAAGCTCCAGTAGGACAGAGCCACAACTTCACACACACTGGTCAAAAGCAAGGCCAACTGGCAGGTTGCCCATGCCCCAGCGGAAAACCCCATAGCCATGCACATATAGGCAGCACTGATTGGACTCAGTTGGTTATTTTAAAAAAAAAGAACTTGCATCTGGGAAGGAGAATCTGTTGGGGGGGGGTTAGGAGGGCGTTAGGGGAGTTGGAGGAAGCGAGTAGATATGATTAAGATGCATTGTTTACATCTTCAAATTTTTCATAGAATTTTTTTTCTTAAGGATGCTCACTCTGTGATAAACACCCACTTCCCTACACCAAAGACAAAGGTGCTGATGCTCCACACCAAGACCACAGTAACAGTCCCAAAGCAGGAATTCTTGAGGGCCTTTTGTTCTTGGCACAAAAGAAAACAATAGGCAAATATCACAACAAGAGCGTTGTAAATGCTAATATTTTGTGAATAAGATTTGTTACCAAGATTTGTAAAAAGGTTTCTATTCTTAGATGTGTTGATTTTATTTCTCCTAGTCTAGCTGACAGAAACAGGGTAAGAATGACTCAGATATCATGCATAAAGATGCTTTAACTGGGGGCTGGAAAAATGATTTGGTGTGTAAAGGC